CCCCCTGGAACTGTTCAATTTTTCCTTATAGACGGGAATCTTGTGAATGTTAGGGTCTGGAAGTTTTGATGCCCCTGCCATTCTTTCTCTGGCGACAGCAAATATTTTCTCGGGGTTCCTTCTCAGGGGCACCAAGAGGCTCGCCTGTGCATTTACGGCGCATGCGGAGCTTTCAGGCATCATCCGCGGCACGTGTGCTCCACGCCTAAGTTGCTGAGACTGGCTCTATTTCCCGGGCCCGTGTTTCGCGAAGAAACATTCGATCATGAGAGACGGAACCCCAACGCGCGTTTCTAACATGTCTCCCACTACCGACGACAAGTAGCAGCAGATGCAGGTGTCCTAAATACTCATCTTGGTTGAAGCTGGTCCTACTCATACTGCTTCTCCAGAGCTTGCGCCGTCGCCTATGCGTAGTGTAGATAATCGTCCATAATAACAGCCGATGTTACACATAGCTGGAAGCTAGAAACCATGGCAGGACAGACCATGTGCCGTACGCAGAAAAGAGTACCGCTTCGACTGGCTTCAAGAAGGTACTTTTGCGGGTTCCTTGACCCAAAACAACAACAACCGCATGATAAGCAACCATCTTCAACCTGACACCACCCGCCGCCGAAAATCAAGCCCAACGTTCTCGTGACATGCACAATCTCACAACGAAAATGCTCGTCGCGTTGCTGTCTGCACGACAACAGATGGACCAACCCCGCCCACCACCACCACCATACAGCCCGTCAATGGCGGACAGCCCAACTCCGCCCTACAGAGTACCGCTGCGGGATCGGCCAACTACTGTCCGGCAAGCAGTTACGGATCCAGGCACCAATCTGCCCCTCACGGGAGCACCAGGGGATGTGCAGGGAGCAGTCCGGCGGCAAGGACCGGAAAGGCCAGACCCAATCCAGCGGACAGCCACTGCTGCTACTCCCGAGTTCAAGCCGCCGATGTCCGAGAGACCAGAGAACATCCAGGGAGCAGCGCTCCGTCGAGACATAGTCCCACGGCGTTTTGCTCACCAGGTAACAACTTTTTTGTTGTTGCGGTTTCCCCCGGATTCATTGCTTGCGCCATGCTAATGCCCTGGATGTCCTTCTCCCTGTTGAATGGATTTCAGACGCTGCGAAGGTTTTTCAACAACAGGTGCTACGCGTAGGAGCCACGATATGTATGAACATGTTTTTGTTCGATGTAGGTCGGAATTTTCAGTTTGTTGGAACGCACAAGTAGGGACCAAGGAAACCAAGCCGGGGTGCAGGTTATGTGGGAAGAAGGGATCCTTCTTCCTTTGACATACGTGAGAGGTTCTCACACTACGTGTAAGTGTTTGCTCCCCCTCTCCTTCTCCTGTTGCCCAGACACCTGTAGTGACCTTTACAATCCCAAGATACGTGGCAGAATTTTTCCGTACACCGTTTCACAAACATATCGAACATGTCGCGACAGTATGCCGGCTGCCTCAGAGTGCTTTGTTTGGTAATTTGACAAAGTAAAAACCTGGCTTCTGCTTCCAGTAGTACTCCAATTTGCCAAGGACCAAGGATTATTTCTAGTGTTGATATTTTGTACCCGCTCCCCACCGTGTGTGCTGCACTCGCCACATGGGATTATTCACCGTCTCGACGAATCCGACGCATATAGGTTGAATGCCCAGGCGGGGGCGCTGAAGAATTCCAACTGCACGGAGCGAACCCGCACGCACAAGAGCGGACGACGACCACCGGCGAGCACCGAGCGGAACACGGCGAATTGCACGTGAAAACCCGCTTCTAGAGCTGGGTGTTGCAGCTGGCCGTGTGGGCGTTGTTGTTGGGTATGCTCATCTCGATCGGTCGCTTCCGGGCGGGCGAGAAGCACAACGAAGGGCTTGACTACTCTGACAGCGACTACGAACATTTCGTTGATCGCGTGGTGCTCATGATCGTTTTCTGCATGTTTTTCCCGCTTAGTTCATGTTTCTATTACGACATGTGCGTGGATGCCGGGACGCGAAAGTCCGTGGCAAACATTGATCGGGAGCTGAACGTGCAGCAGTACGTCCAACAGCTACGAACAGCCATCCCAGTTGTAAGGTTCGTCGCCACCTGCTACCACTTCGAACCCTGCACTCGGTGGGTACCGGTCATGTCGACAGATGCGAACGGGAGAGTGTCCACAAATTACAGGTGAGAAGCTGCCGGTGTTGTCGCTTGTTGTTTACTCGACGCCGCCAACCATACCTTGTGCTCTGCCTGCGAGTGAGGGCGAATTGTTGGGTCCCGTGTTGCTATTAATAGATCAGAGACGAGCTGCAATCGGTAATATTGTAATATTGAGCGTCTGTTGTGGCCCTAGTTAGCTGTATTTCATTGATCGGAAGAGTTGTGCGGAATTGTCCCGCCACACGTTGTTGTGTGAGATGACTCTCTCTCTTTCCGCTCGGCCATTCGGCCAGCTTGTCCCTGCCACGTTTCAGTCACGCACTTTTTTCGTTTGCGGAGGCCACGCCTTTTGGCAACCCACGCGTAAACAAACGTGGGATTGGTGTGAATACAAAAAAAAACGCATATGTTTACTGTAAGTTCTCTTCGGACTATCTTCGTATCCTGTGCTCGGCCGATCAATCTTGTGTGATAGCCGGTACGACAGCCGGTAGAAAATATAGAGCTCAAAACTCACATATAGTCTATACGAACATCACGGCCTCTTGCCTTTCGGCCCCACGAAGCCGGCGTGCGCCTCACGGCAACGCTACACTCCATCTCTCGCACTACGTATTACGTATGCATCTGCATAGCCCAGAGGGACTTTTTTTCGCTTCGTTCGCCGATTCACGATTGATTCTCGTCGCAGATTCGAAACCTACTAAGGCCAGATCGTCAGTCACACCGCCAATGAAGACTACTCCTTCAACCAGTGGGAGGACGCAACGGGGGCGCTGCCGGGCACCGACTCTGTGGAGGAGCTTGCAAAGCTCTATCTCTCGAAAGAGCTGGGGTTTCTGACGGACGCCGCCGAGCAGAAGATGACTGCCGCCTACGAGTCGTTCTGCGCGGCGAACCGCCGGGATCTCTTCCAAGACTACCAGCAAGAAATTCACATCAAAGGATTTAAGGAGCTATCAATGTGGATCAAGAACCTGGGCGAGCCGTCGTGTTGGGTGAGCAGCTACGGGTACTTGGTCGCTTCACTCCTATTGGTCAATGTACCGTACCGGCATTGGCTCGACTGGAAGACGAGCATCGTTCGGCTTACGATCACCAAGAAGATCGCGTGAAAAGGTTGTAGAGTAGACTGCTGTACACCTACCTACTACTGTAGTCGAGGATGAACTTGGTTGTTTCGTCTACTATAGTTCACACAAGCATGCGTCATGGCGGACCTCGTGTGTTTGAGTTTGTTTGCGTACCGCGCGTGTTTCCGGGAGCACCTGAGCGGTGCGTGCTCGTTCGCATTGTTGGTGGTGTTCAGCTGGCGAAGCCGTAAGGGTGGTCGTTCGTGGAAGACGACGGGCCCGGGTAAGTTTATAGAGAAGGGGGATTCAACCACGGAGCCCACCTCACGTGGCTTTGGCAAAGAATATGCACGTGTGTACATACTACGTGCATGCTCCGAATAGAGGTAAGGCCGCTGCACGCCGAAAAAATGCGACAATGCTGGGAGAAATTTTTCGCCCCCTAGTATTAGGAAGGAATCAGAAAACTCTCCCCCCGGAATAGCGATTTTTTTCGGTGGCTCAAAAGAAGAAACCTTGAAGTCCACAATACTCTTTGATGTGTGTGCAATCAGTGTATTCAAGGGTCGGGTATGGCAGTAGTCTAGACATGCGTATCGTAGTAATGTTATTCCTGCGAAAGTGGCAGATTACAATCCGTGCACGTGTGTTGACAAGTAGGGGAGGAGACCTTTGGCGAAGGAAAAGGAAGTATTCCACAGAGAAGGTGTTAGCCTACATCACTTCAGAAGAGATGGGCAGCGTTCCTTCACCGATACAACGTTTGTTGTGTCTTTGAGAATTGAAAGCAAGGAACAGAAAAGGGGGGGCGTTGTCGTTTGAAGTTTGAAGCAAGCGAGGCGTGGTGGGTGTATGTTGTATTAAGGGGTTTTCGCTAAGAATGGGCGACGAGCAATGTCCAATTTGCTCTGTAGTGTGTGTATTTCCGCAATATTGCAGGGAGGGCTTTGTAGCGTCTAACAAGATCGATCATGGTATTAATGGTAGAGCTGCTCCGAAAATCGATGTTTCTGGAGGGTCAAGAGCTACAAGTCTGCCGTGCAACGCTCTCACGGGATGTCGGTTGACAGGGGTTGACAGGTGTGTCAAGGGCGTCTTTTCTGGAAATATACTAGTTATAGTGTCGGCGTTCGTCCTTGACACGTCTGCCCAGAGGGTCAAAGCCTGACAACCATCATCTTTGCCCCGCCCCTCGCGGGAATGCTGGCGGAAACGGTTGTAAGCATCAAGGGCACCCGCCGCGCGACACAGGAGGTTCTAAATAGAACTGGTGGTCGGGTCTGTGCCCGAAATACGCTTTGTCGTTCGTATTGTGAGTTTTTAGACTTGCATCCAAGACTGACTGGTAGTTGGACGGTCGTTTACACGCCGGGAAAAGCCAAAAGAACACAGCAGCACTACACCGTCAAGCACCTCCTCCGTGACTTAACTCCTGCTGCACAAACTGCTGCCGCCAACAAGCTCTGTACTTCTCTCAAAGGGCTTGTCCGGGAAGCAATATCGCGCAGTCCCTGGCCCAACACCTGTCCATCTACCTACTAAGTGCCTCCCCCAAATTCCTGTCGGTCCATTCAAGGCGCGCGACAGAAATATTAGCGGAAGAAAGTGTTCCTGGGGTGGTATGTGATATGGCGAAACCCAGGGGGCTTGTGCCAATCTTCCACGTTCCTCTCCTGTGATATCTCTCTTTTCTCTTGTGTCTCTCGGTCTCTTTGTCTCTCTCTGTCTCTTTGTCTCTGTCTCTCTCTCTCTCTCTCTCTGACACACACCACCGATAGTAGGAAGCAGGTTCAACGCGGTCGGTGCAACGAGTGGAAGAAGCACACCCTCCACGATGTGCGCAAAGCCTCCGTCCAGAACTGCACGCGTGCCTCATCTAGGCCAGGAAAACAACCTTCAGACAGAATGCCGGCAAACAACTGGAAAAAGACAAGCCGAGGCAACTACACGTCAGTAGTCCTATCTCACACGATTACTGGCTGCCTAGTTTTTTCCCCAATCACTAAATGCTTTGCAACAAGATGGCACCACACAGTTCGGCTGCCTTTCACCCTGACTCCAAACCATATTTCAATATCTTCCCCCAGCACGGTTATCCTTGACTGCCGATTCTGCTTTCAATCAGACAGGCCAAGTGTAGCCACGGCAAGTACGCCACGCCCCCTCCGTGGACAAAGCAAATAAGAAAACGAATCAGCGTATATCACGCGTTCAGCACATACTCTCCGATGCCTCAAGTCCCTCGGTGCTAGACCAGCGAATACGACATGGTCAAGAAGCAGCTAAGCCAACCCCAAGGGCCTGAAAATACCCCCTCCACGAATCAGTGCACACATTACTCTACAAAAGCCCTAATACAACCTCGCCAGTAGCAGTGGAGTGGTCCAACCACTGCTTTTCCGCCCCTTCCCTGTGGCCGAGCCTATGTTTATCACAGGCCCATCACATTTCCGAAGGCGCCTGCGTAGGCCATGGGTCGGACCGCAGGATGCGGCACCGCCTCGAAGGTAGTAAACTGCGGCTCGAGGTCGGATCCGAACCGGATAAACGCGCCCTTGTTTCCCATCTGGAATTTTGAGCCGTCACGTTCCCGCAGGTTTTAATGCACAATTTTGCGGCATGGAGGGCGCGGGGAGCGGGCGAACTTCATGTGAATTGTGTGCCAGTACTCCCTGTCGTGTCGTTGGCTTGGGTCCATTTATTACGATCTTCGGAGTGGGGAGGGCGCTTCGAACGCGTACCGATAGCTTTGCTGGGGTGGAGGGAAAAATCGTGGCCGACGTCCCATGGCGTGCTCAGAAACACAGAGAAAAGGTACCGATGCGCAGGTAAATCGCTCGGGGTGGAGAATCCCCGGTGCCGAACCATCACACTCCATGGTACGCATACAGATTTCGATCACACATGATTCTGGAGCAAAATTTCATCATGTACATCACAAGATCGTATAGTCGGTAAAATGCGGGCATGGGCAAATATACTTACCCACCGATGTCACAAGGTCAAACCACATATCGCACAAACGGTGCATAAACGCGGATGTACTTTGCGGCAGTATCGTGCACGACACCAGCAGCAGTGAAAGCAAAACGAAACAACAGGATTCCGGTTAAGCAAATGGCATCGCAAAAAAGAGCATCAATTGCAAGAAGGGCGGACGAAAGCGAAAGAGAAAAAAATAAGCTCTCGTAATTAACAACAGAGAGTGAGACAAAACCCACACCACAAAGACGAACCTGGTCACAATAATTCGGCGCTGAGAAGACGGTGATGCACTTCCCATCGTGCTCCACTAAATACCCCTCCTGTTGTTCGTAGTGGTGATTACGACGGGGGGGTGGGGGGGGTGATGGCGTATTGACAGCAACTTGTTCGTGCAATTTCGTTCGTCCGTTCCCCGGAAGAAATCATTCAACACGCAAAAAAAACTCGACAGAGCAGAGCAAGGACCAGAACGTCAACAGATGCATGGTGTTTGAGCTACATGATGCGGAGAGCGATACCGTTCGCCGTCAGGTGGAGCAACACGGGAACCACGACAAAGAGCGAGGAGCCATACTCGGATGAGTCCGCGACGACCACGCCACGAGGAGGCACACAACGCCGAGGCAACCGCCCACATCACTCGCCTGAGTAACAAGCTGGACCCGATCCTATCTACGTCGGCCCCCATATATAAACACACATAAACACAGCACTGGGCGTCGTTTGGGGTAGTTGATCATTTGACGAGAACATTGTAACCTTTTAATTTGACCAGCTGGGTTCCCAATTCATCTCAAGAATGCTCCCTTCTAAAAAATAACCCCTTCTTCTGCGTGTATCCTTCAACAGCAGCATGAGTGAAAGCGTCATACCACTGCATGGGAATATACATTTATCGGAGGCGAAAGGTATGGTAGACGACCCATTCCATACAAAGTTGTGCGTGTGTTCAGATAGGCCCTTAAGAGCCCACGAAGGAACAGAACGCATGAAGGAGAACGCTCGACACAAACCCATGGTTCCCGTTGTCGTCAGATCCCTCTGTCTGGACATATGCATAAAAGGCCTAATATTTTCGAACAGAGCGGCATACTACAATATCTTACACGTGAAGAAATTACAACACAAGGTCTGATCTCCACACCCAGCACCTTCTCCTCGCCGATAAGCAACAGCGTCCAACCAAATCACCCCCCCCCGCCGCCCTTTTACTTGAGTTGTACGCAAAAAAGTAAACACCAGACGCCGAACACCCTTACGCTCCGTCCCGGCTTTGCAGGCATGCGAGGTCAACGACCTAGCGACTACGGCATGCACGGCTATGAGTACTCCCCTATTACTCACCTCCTTAACCTCGTGGGACCGTACGAGCAGCTTGAGGTCGTTCCCTTCCAAAAATGCCTTCGTCACGTCCGGCCCGAACGCCATGCCCACCCCTCTCTTCGACGGACTCCGACCCGTGAACGGCTGCGGGTCGGACCACATCAAGTCCGACATTATCCCGCTGTCCGGCGGTTCCCGCCCCCTGTGTGTCGCGGGTCGGGTTGTCATCCGCGCGCACTGAGCTTTCGCGACAACAACATGTGTGCCGTGCGTGACACAATGTATCACACCGACTGGACCGACTTTCAAGGTGCGACTCCTACTCCACGGCCGAAAGGTTCGCGGTGCCGAAAAGGACGGCCGTGGAATGGTCCCTTCGAGAGCTTTCCCAAAACAAATCGTTCGATGCGAACATGTGCAAGTAGTCCATCCCCGGAGTGGGCTCATGAGAGAGCGACGTCATCAAGGGGTGAGGCAAGACGGGAAAAAAAACAAGCAGCAACCCACAGCTGGCTGCCAGCTGCGGTGCAACGTTGAACAGATAACACAGTTGACGTGTTTTTGACCCGACTGCCCAGCGAAAATCTCAGTGAACCAAACATGACACTACGGAAATCTGCATCAGTCTTACGTCCTCTTAATCGACCTTTCAAAATCTCGAAATCGGTCGGGAACGATTGGTATCTAGCGTCATGCCACCTACGTAGCACTGTACTGTGTCGTGGGCGGGGCACGTTTCTCGACTCTCACAACCGCACCCGAGGGTCTTCAGAAATATTCCTACAGTCCGCCAGTTCTCATCCTCTTGTCAGGGGTGAGACCACGGGTACACATGTCGTGGGGATGACCTCGTGTGTGTGCTTCGCGATACCCAACTTTCGAGGACAACGGCAAATACGTCGGTCGGTCTTATCCTGAGTGGGTGGGTTGCCACACCGAAAACTTGATCAAATACATCTCTACCATGTTGACGATACGTAAAGGTGGCCGTCTTGTTGTTCACATAGGGTGGGGCGCCCAATGACAACAACTCTGGCGCCCGTTGCTGCGTCCATTCAGCGGAGTTCTCCCGCCCCTCTCGCTCTTCTCGGCAACACGCAGGGACAAGCCGATGTCTGCAAATATCGACAGTTTTATTGCTTACCAATACTACATTCACGCGCGTGCAGTGCTCCAACGACCTCTCTTTCATGCCATTAATTGCTGGGGTCCACAAAACAACAAAGCGCAGAGAGAGAGAGAGAGAGAGAGAGAGAGAGAGCCAAACAAACTAAACCGCGCTCGCTGTAGAACACGGAGCAAAAACAAGTACGACAGTGGTACGACGCGCATTTTCGTGATCGTTATTTTGCCGCGTACCTCCGGACGGCCGCGATGTCGTCCAGCTTGCACGAGTCCTCCGCAGGGAGGCCACCGTGTGTGACGAAAACGCCTCCGTCAAGCGTCGCCGCCAAGGGCAGCCAGCAGAACACCTCGGCGAAGAGGGTCATGACCGTCTGATCGAACTTGTGCTTAACCTGGTTGGATTCAAGGATTGGGTTATTGCTGTCTGTTTCTTCTTCGTTTCAGCGATTGGCTTTCATGTCACACAGCACGTGCTGCTTGTGTGTCTGTCTTTTCTAACTCACAACACATGAACAAAGAAAAGGGAACCCCAATTAACGAAGTACAACGAAAAAAGGCTCACCACTGCCTAAGGGACATAACCCTCAACTACCTCTTTTTCGTGATTTAGGAACGTGGGTTGGCACTAAATAGCCGTTACAAGCCGGTACCCTTCGCAGGGTTGTTTTATTTTAATATTAAGCAAACATGTTGGATAAAGCATGCAATGAGGGAAGTTAGGATAGGGTTGGGGTTTTAAGAACATGGTCTGCGTACCCCGTTCTTGTTCTATTTCCTCATTAACTTCATTTCTCCGCAAGGCAGTCCTTCAACGCACAGGGATCCCCAAAATTCAAAATTCGACCCCCATGGTAACACATCCGTCGGCGTGCTTGATGCTGCTGCTGCTGCCGCCAGAAAAAAAAACGCGAGGGAACCGCACAACAGACGCACCCGCCGTCACCTACCTCCCCCTCGAACCCGTAAATCTTGTTCATGTTCTTGCTTTCGTGGTTCCCTCGCGTCAAGAAGATGCCCTCCGGCTCCGCCAGCTTGAGGGCCAGGAACGTCGTGACTACCTCCAAGCTAAACGACCCCCTGCAAGACCAAGAAACAGCAGCAGCAGCAGCAGCGGCAGCGGCAGCAGCAGCGAGCAAGTTATTATTCCTGTGCTGACCAGTAAAAAAACACAGCAAGATAAACAAGTACTACTGCAAATACAAGGCATCGCCTGGCTGGAGTTGGGGCGCCTATCGGGATGAGATGCGCATCGTCGCGGCTGCTCTCGGCGAACAACAAACCAGCACAGAGCACATCCCGGGCATCGAGTGGACGGCTGCGTCAGCCTCAACACCAACACCGGAGACAGAAGAGCTGACGAACAAGATTCCGACGCTTGTATCCACGCCACGCGTACATACGCGGAAGGCTCACAACAATCGCTCGCACCGAGGGGCGTGAATGCGCCACAAAAAACATACATACTGAAGAATATATACCTGTCCACGAAGTCCCCGTTGAAGAGATACGGGTTTTTCGCCGAGGGCAAGCCGTTGAGCTTGAAGATGTTGAGGACGTCGTAAAACTGTCCGTGCGTGTCCCCGCACACGGTGAAGTGGCTCCCTTCTTCCTCCGGTATCTGCGCACGCCGCGTTGGGAAACCGGCCCGTGTTATCTTCGTTTGCGTGCGCGTGTGCATGTGTGTGTTCTTACCGAGCATCGCCCGCTGCGTGCATGTGGGTCGTGTGTTGTGTGTTTTCAATCAGCATCGACCACGCTACACTCATGGCTTTGGTGGAGCATCCTCTACGGCTCAAAACTGCTGACTTCCTGACCGGACATGGCATCATCGCTGAGGGTGACGGGGACAACTTCGTTACACGTCGTCGCACTCAGATACTGCTGTATCACACACAGCCCAGTGACCTTGTCGAACAGGAGGTCAGCAGAATCGAGCCTTCCTTACAAGCAAGAGAGCTAATAGCTGGTGACCATGCTCCACAAAGCCATGAGTGTGTATGCGTGGCTGCAAAGTGAGTGTGTGCACGGGGCACGAGAGAGGTAGAGCTAAAGCTGCTATGGCAAGAGAGGGGGGGGGGCGGAATCCGCCAAAGCTGCACGAAGAGAGATGAACGGAGAACCAGGCGAATGGCTCGTGAGGGCTCTAAAACAAGGAATACTATATAGCCTATCAGGGCTCCAAAAAATAAGCAATGGAATGATGGCCTGTGGGCACAGCCCACACGGAAACGGAACCCTGGCGCTCGCTTCGAGCTGAGCCAAGAGACAAGCGACCGCACCAAGGTTCCGAAGGGTTTAGGCCGCTTACGCCGCCACGCTTGTTGAAGCGACTCCATAAACAGGTGAAATGGCGACCTGCATACTTTAGAAACCTGGTGGGAATAAACATGCAAGATTCAACTACAGGATGCGTATGTTGAAATTGTTGCATATGCCGCACGACAGGGAACGAGATGTTTTCCCCTCTCATTCGGATGACACGTAAAGACGATGCGTTGTGTGACGCGAGGAAAGCCTTTTCCAGCCGAGAGGTTAGCAGAGAGGTCGGCCGCGGTAACACCGGGATCCGATCAAATGCCTGGACGGGAGGAAGAGTGCGACGTCCCTGCCATTGCTGTCAATAATACCTTATACCGCATAATTCGCTAGAGTTGTGGCTCCGATATAGAGGAGCTCGGATACTAGAGGGTCGGAATTGGATGTGACGGACTCGACCCGCCATATTGTAGCAAAGTATGGCACCTTCTAATCAGGTGTAATAAGGTGACTCCGAATAAGAGGCGAAAGAGGGTCAAGAGCCTTTGTCACACCACCCTCTTATACAGGAGCCACGGCCGTACCAGCCTACCTTCCCTTTCGTTTGGCAAGGCCACTGCTTTCGTGGGCATACAAACCACTCGGGAGTGAAACACACCCCGCTCTCCGCCATCCCACACATCCATCCACACATGCAGCGGTCCAAAGTGGTGCCAGCAACATCTGGGTGGTAGTTGAGTTTCGCGCTCGTTGGAAAATACAATGTCGGCAAACTTTGTCAGCACCGCAAGCAGCGGAAGCCAACAAGACGTAGGGGTGCCGCAGATAGAGGGAGAGCGTGGGGGGGGGGGGGGGGGGGGGGG